CTAAATTATTATAATTTTATTTAAAAATTAAAATGAGTTGTGGGTTACGGGTCAACCTACCATAACCCGGCTCGAACCCACTTAATCGGTTAAGTGAGCTGGGTTCAGTTTTAATCCATTATCGATACAAATAAAAAAACCCAACCTAACCCAACCCGGCTCAAACCCGTGATGAGCCGGGGTTGGCTCACGGGTTACAACCCATATTGACACCCCTAGGTGTCAGGACCTTTTAAGGGATTCGGTTGAGTTGATTGCTTTGGGTAGGACCTTTGTGGGTGCTCTAAAGGAGCTTGTACTTTGCACAACAGGATTTCTCTTCCTTTTGTATGTCTTGCTTTCAATCAAATAGAATTTGTTGTTCATTATATTTATTGTGTATTCTCTATTTTACGGTGTTGAGTCCTTATAATAGAGAATGAAGAAGAAGAGGATATAGAGACAACTATATCCAATAAATAAAAGCATATCTTAACTCATAAGAAGGTCCATTTACACATGGTGGAAGTACGGAATGAAGAAAAGGATATAGAGACAGTTATTTCAATTAAATAAACTGAAGACCTTTGTTGCAAGGTACTAATTCAATAAATAAAAAATCTTAGATATATGAAAGAAATCAAAAGGACATTATTTATATATGTTGGAATTCATAATTATTTAAGGGCTTAGGGTTTTTGCAAGCGGGGCAACATTGGGCTGGTTTTCATGAATGCAACACAAGGCAACCATATTAGAAAATATGATTCTACCTTCAACCCAAATCCTTAAGATATTAGGATTATAATTCTTGTTCACTTATATACTCACCCTTACTATTTTTATTTCATATGGAATTTCAACTCACTTGAATTACTATAATAAACTTGTTGATCAATTATGGTTTTATACAACCTGTTAAGTTTGTTAAGAAAATAAATTAATATTAATCTTTTTATTTTCCCTAATTATTAGTAGAATCTTTAGTTTTTTATTATGTGAAATTATATGTAGTGACTATTATGTGGTAGTATTTATTGGGCACATTATTATTCCTTTTATGGTACGAATTAAGGTCACCACTTTGCAAAGTGTGTGCAAAGTATGTCCAATTAAGATGAATGATAGCATATATTTTGTACACATATATAGCTTTATTATTAAGTGAATGTACTTTTAATAATTTTTATATTTTTTAGTTTTAAACTCATTTTCATTCAATAGTAATAAATTAGGTTCAATTTACATATATGCTTTAATTTTATTTTTTCAATTCATCTGACCTTTATTGATTTAAGTTGCATTAGATTACATTTCTAGGGCGTTCAAATGGATATATGGTTTGTTGGATTTAAAGTTCTCTATAATGTTCTACGATTTTTCAAAGTTGAAGTAGATTTACTTAAATTTTGTAGTGAATTAGATTTTCTTTATATTAGTTTAACTTTTGTAATTGGACTTAGGCTCATGTTTACTTTAGATTTGAGAGTAAATAAATAGCCTAAATGTGCTTTAAATTAATATCAAGAAACCAATTTATTAGATTTTCAGTTTAAAAAATGTGTCTACATCTTCTCTTTTCTCTCTTCTCTCTCATTTTCGCTATGACTCTTCTTATTCTTCTCATTGTTTTGGTCCAAATTGTTCTTGTATTCTTCATCCATGAAGAACTAAATCTTGACAATCAATTCACAAAATCAAGATTAAATAAGCAGAATTAAGTTGTCACACAATGGTCATTATGTGTATTTATCATGCCATTTGCGCTTACAAAATCTCTTGCAACTTTTTAGAGTTTGATGAATGTGGTTTTTTAATAAATTTTTCAACAAATTTTGTTATTTTACTTTGATGATATATTGATTTATATCATCAATTAAAATGAACATACACAAAATTTGAGAAAGGAGTTATCAGTCACAGTGGATAATAACATGTTTGCCAAGAAAGTTAAATGCTACTTTGGAGTGGATAAAGTGGAATATTTGTTCATTTCATGTCAAAAAATGGAATCTTTACTGATCTTGCGAAAATGCAAGCTGTCAAAACTTAGCCTTTGCCTCAAACGGTTAAATAGCTAAGAGGTTGCTTAGGTCTTATATATTACAGGAGGTTTGTTAAAGGATATGAGAATATAACAAGACCATTAAGTGATGTTATTCTTACTATATGTTATCTTATTAATAGGATGCCCTCTTCTTCTCTAGCAAATACAGTTCCATACTCCATTTTTTTTTTCCAAATGAACCTCCTTTTTCACATTTCCTATGTTTTTTGTTGTGTTTAGTACATGATGTGTTTACATGTTTAGATAAACTCTCAATTCGAGCTATCAAATTTGTTTTCCTAGGATATTCTCATTCCAAAAGGGTAATTAAGTTATTCTCCTAAAATTTATTACATGTTTGTAAGTGTCACATCTTTTACAGAAACTCCTTTCTTTGCTTCTAGCATATCTTGCCCTTAGTTGAGCCTTTCGTGTGTCTTGTTCCTAACACTTTCCAAATTCCCCCAATGATCCCAATTCCACTCATCATCCAAGTCCACCTACACCATCATCACCCAATCTTATCACTTACTAATGACCGACCCAACTGAATAATCCAATGCCATATGATAAATCCTCTTCATCAAATTCTTACTCATAATGAAGATTCTAGATAGCCTATTGTTATTTAAAAAGGTACTCATTCTTCTTGCACTCATCTTATTTACAACTTTTTAAGCTATCATTGATTATCTCCTCCCTATTTTTCTTTTATCTCCTTTGTATATGCTATTATCATTCCTAAAAATGTGAAAGAGACACTTGATCATCCTAGATGACAACAAGCCTTAATTCCTCTTTAACATGTAGGCTCTTTAACATAATGGTACATTGGACTTTGTTCCTCTTCCACTTGGAAAGAATGTTGTTGGTTTCCACTGGGTTTAGACCATTAATGTTTAGCCAAATGGTGAAGTTGATCACTTCAAAGCTACATTGGTGACTAAAGGGTATACTTAGATATATAGCCTTGATGATACATTCTTCATTGTAGCCAAAATGACTATTGTTCGTCTCTTCTTTGTCATGGAAACTATTTGTTATTGGTCTCTCCATCGAATGAATATCAAGAATGTTTTCCTTCATGGTGATGTAGAGAAAGAAATTTACACGGAGAAACCTCTTGGAATTGTTGTGGTTTTCTCCATGGTCCCAAGCAATCTCCACATGCTTGTTTTGGAAAACTTAGTTACATTGTTCAAATCTTTAGACTAAACTGAATTCAAGTATACCATTTTTTTTTATTGTCAGATATCTCCATGAAAATGTTTTTACTCAATTGTGTATGTGGATGATATAGTCATTGCAAGAAATAATGTTGATAAAATTTCTCAAATAAAGAAGCACTTATGCAATCACTTTCAAAACAAAAATCTTGAATGTCTCAAATAATTTTTAAGCATTTAATTAGCTCAATCAAAGGTAGATATAATTATTTCTAAAAGAAAATATGCTTTAGATATATTGAAAAAAAAAAAAGCACAATTGATTGAAGACCAATGATTAGTCCTACATATCCTAATAAAAAATTGATGGCAAAATAGTGAACCTATCTCAACCCATAAGATATAGAATACTTGTTAAGAAACTTATCTATCTCACTGTTACTAGACCTAACTAGTCTTTTGTTTTTGGAGTGGTTAGTCAATTTATATAGGTTCCTCATATTGATCATTGAAACGTTGTTATTCGCATTCTTATATACTTCAGCACAAGAATTGTTGTATGAAGATAAAGACACATTCATATGATTGGATATTATGATATTGGTTGGAGGCAATATTGTTTTTTTAGAAAAATAAGAACCAGAATATAATTGTTCAACCTACTATCAAAGTCGAGTATAGGACATGGCATCTCTCACTCGTGAGTTTATATGAATTAAACAATTCCTCCAAGAGTTGAAGTTATGTGAAACTCAACATATAAGGATTTATTGTGATAATTAGGCCGTTAAATTTTATGAGAAAATTGAAAACATGAACAAGGAAATTTGCACAATATTTATTAACTCCAATCGTCAACTTGCAAATGCCTTAACAATATCTTTAGAGAACCTCGAATTCTTTCAAACTATATACATACAAGTTATATGTTCTACTTAAAAAGAAGTGTTAGAATAGAGTATTTAATTAGATACGTGTTCGGATATATTAACCTATTTTAACTAAAAGTTATTTTTTCCTATTGGGTATTGGCCCTTATATGTAGCCTTTGATACATACACTCTTTGTAATCAGTCTTTTCTCGTATAAATAAATGGATCCGCTAATATCTTAAGCTACTTCATCATATTTTTCAGTTTAAGTAAGACTGTCATAGAAGAAGTGAATGTTTCCGGATATAGAATTGATGCAGTGTTAATGGCTAGAGATCAAATATTGCGGAGGAGAGAGAAATGGCTGGAGTAGCTATTTCTAGATTTAGTTAATTAAAGGTAACATTTAGAGAAGTTAGTAAACTAATTCTGTAAATAATGATTGTTTGTGCATGGAAGGGGCAGGTGAATTCAACTATAAAATCCCTTCTCTGTATCTCATTCTCTATCAATAACGATTCTCAAAACTCTTTTTTTTTTTTTTAGAATTTCCTGCCTTAATTGTATTCTTGGATCCCTTTGAAGTTCATGGAATTCCTATTACTTATATAACCGAATAAAAATGGGTAAAACCATGCACCATTACAAATCCCTTTAAGTTGCTGCATTATAAAAGTATTAAATGCTCAATGTGTTTGTAATACTATTAAATGTTTTATATACCATTTGCACACACAAAACTTATAGTTTGACCTAACACAAGGACCTGAATCTTGTAACCCATACTATTAAATGTTTTGAACCATTTGCACACACAAGACTTAGTTTTACCTAACACAAGGAACTAAATCTTGTAACCCGCACAAAAAAAATAGAAGTTCAACTTCAGTTCTATAACGGAACTTAGTAATAGCACATCCAAACAGATTCTCCAACTCACCTGTATTTGATCATTTCGGGGAAGATCAACACGTCACCATCGGAGAAGCCAGCCTCCTCACGCGCCTCACACACGGTTATTTTCGTCTGCAAAGTCCAACCGAGCAAAATCAAACCACCCAAGTCAACCTCGGATCGTAGCGAAAACGGCAACCGACATAGAAAAGCTTTCTATATATATTCATTCATTGAAAATCAAGAACGAACGAACGAACCTTGAGGGAAATGTCGTTCTTGCGAGCTTTGAACGTGGCGGCGACGCGCTTGGGGAGGGGATCAGCGTCGGAGGCCTCGATGCGCGGTGGCCAGTACTTGTGGCCCTTGTAGCAGAGGAAGATGTGGCGATCGTAGCCGTCAACGGTGCCAGCGAGGTTTTCCTTGTACATCTCCGGTCGAGTGAAGCCGCTAACGGCATCGTCGGGGGAGGGCTTGTCGGAGGACATGGCGAAGGAGAAGCACAAACTCAGGCAGAAAAAAATGGAAAGGAAAGCAGAGAGAGGGAAGCGAGTAGCATTAACACCTTTACAGCGGTGATTGGGTCACATATAAAGGGTGCTGGGGATGGGCAAGTGTGCCACGAGATTTAGACTACAGAATATAATTTCAATCTTACCAAGTCTTATCATCAATATTTTCCTTTTTTCTAGTTATAATTTATTCACGTTGTCATAAAATTTAATTTATTCATTATAAACATATTATATTTGACACATGTTACTAGTAAATAATATGAATAGAGAAAGTCAATAAACAATATATCCCCTTGTTTTAAAGTTTAAAAAAATATTATAAGAATATAATGAAATTAAAAAATAAAGAAAAAAAAACATTAAAGTAAAGAATATTATATTTTTATTATGAGAAACTTTTCCGATTTGAGTTTCATATTATCCTAAGCTATGTCTCATTTAATAAGATTTTAGAATTCAACACAAAAGATATTCATTTAATTCTAATCAATATTTATATTATATATCCTTATAAGTATATCTTGAGTAGCATTTATATATTATTTATATTTATAATAACAATTCATCATCACACTCATTAAATAAATTTTCAAAGGGTCATAACTAAAAATCACATTCACAATTAAATATTAAGAATTTATTAATAAAGTATGGACATACTAGTTTAAGGTTAATATTTAATTTACAAAAGCTCAACGTTCTAAAAGAATTGAGTTATGTGATTCAATACAATCGTTTATGTGAAGCATATAGGAAAGACAAATAAGTTAAAAGAGTATTTTTAAAATTAAATACTGTATCAACTGATCAAAATCTTCAATTAGTACATATAAATTTTGTTAGATCCAATAAGAATTATAGTTAGTAGTATAAAAAAAAATGTGGTCTAGTTATTATTAGAAATTTACATCATCTTAATAAGAAGTGATAGAAATTTTGAAACTAAAAAAATACAATTTTGTAAAAAACATGCAATAGGATACAATTTTTAAACTAATAATACAATAACATTGTGTTATGAACTGGAAAAATAGTTTTTTTTTTTTTGCAAGAAATGACTAAAAGCATTTTAAATGATAAATCCACACCAAAACATTTATAGGTTAAGACAGTAAATACAGTTAGTTATTTACAAAATAAATTTTATAATGAGAATTTTGTAATTAAATTTAAACTGTTATAAAAAAATTCAAATCATTTGTAATAACGAATCAAATTTAAATCAATATAAAAAATTATAATATATATATATATATATATATATATATATATATATATATATATATATATATATATATTATATGTGAATTCAAAATTTAACTCTCATACTAGTTAAAATTTAAATTGATATAAAAAAATTATAATATAAAATAAAAACATGTTGAATTTTTATATATATTCAAATTTGAACCATGTAGTTTTTTATTTTTATTTTTCTTCTTTACAATTCTCGATCGTGTCTTTATTGATTTTTTTTTTTCTTATCCTCTCCTTTCAGCGTCAAGCTATTTATTTGTTTTTTTTAACAAATATGTTTCAAATTTAACAATCATTTGGAACTTAAAAAAAAATTCGACTGAAATATTTATAATATTTTATATTAGGAGAACAAATTGTTCTCATACCGAAATGCAATGTAAGAGGTCCCATGGTCTTATTCAAAAACACGGGAGTGCTAGTGAAAGTAACGGGGTGTAGGAAGCAAAAATGTAGAAAATACTAATACAAAACTGGTTGGAGGAGTTGTGGATCCAGTTTCTATGGATTGGGCTTGCAACCGAGAGAGCAATATATTCACGGCTCTCTTTTCGTACACCCCATGATTTTTTTTCCTGCAACCCATGTAAAATAACTTAAATATCTTTTAGTAATTTTTGTTTCAAATCTTGCAAGCTTCTTCTCTCCCGCTCCTCTACACAACCTCAATAGTTTTTTCAATTTCATTTTCTTATTATTCAACCTCTATTGAATATTGTTTTTAACCCATAAAGTGAAAATTGTTAATATTGTATACCTATTACATAAAAATTGTACTAAAATTGTATACAGGGATTCAAACTAATCAAATCATAACGAATTTTCAAACTAAAATTGAGTTCTAGAACATTCAATTTGAAATGCATTTCCAAATTTTCTATTCTAAAATGCATTTTGGATTGGGTGTTCCGGAATCTATTTTCGAATTGGTTATTTTTAAAATATATTTATTATTAGGTGTTCTAAAATGTATTTTTTGATTGATTTTTCAAAAATACATTCTAAATTATGTGTTTTGGAATGCATTTTTGGATTGACTATTCTAGAAATAAATTCCAGATTACCCAATCTGAAGTCATTTCTAAAACAATCAATCCAGAAATGCATTCTGAAAATGTTCACATATGTTGATTTTTTTCCTTTCTGTGTAGTATAATTTTTATTATGGTCAGGACTAGGGGCAGTGATTCTCAACCCACAAATGATATTCTCCCAATTGTCACTATAAGGCGTAGGGCCCGTAAGGAATCAAGGGTTGTTAATGAGTATAAATATAATGTGAAGGAGAATGTTGTAGATGAACAACATGAAAATCCTAAAACAAATTATCAATATTTTATAGAGGACTTGTAGATACTTCATTATTAACCAGATATGAAGATCACGTAGCTCATAGTTTGTAGGAATGAATGGTAAGTATCATTCACATCATATAAGTTAATGTATATAAATGTTAATGTAATAAAATTTAAACAATTATTTTTTCTTGTAGGATCGTAGTAAGTTAAAATGTGTTTTTACTAATAAAAAAATGAATATAAGTTGGGGCTTTACACTCGCAGATTAAAATTGCAATTAAGTTATCTGGATTGGAAGTATTTGTGGGTGCTAATTATGACACAGTAGGTAAGGGAATGTTACCTATTTTTGTTGAGAGATGATATAGTGAGACTAATAATTTCCATCTACTCATAGATGAGATGACCATTACACTAGATGGTGTGTCCTTATTATTGTAGTTGTCAATTATTGGTCAATTTTGTGATTATATTCGCTTGAAAGTACGCAAAATTGTAAAGGTGTTGGTAAAGCTCGTAGGATTTAATTCTATAATGGCTTCTATAGAGACGAGATATTATAAAGGTGGACATGTCAGTCTTAGTTGGTTGCAATAAGTGTACAATAATATTTGTATACACAAACGATGGAGAATTGTAGCTAGAGCATATTTGATGTATCTAGTGGGTTGTACTATTTTTGTTGACAAAAATGCGACCTTCATTAGTTTATCATATTCTGGTCTATTTTAAGATTTTACCACTTGTTGTGGATATTCTTAGGGAGCAACTATACTTACCTATACGTATGAGCAATTTGATGATGCATCGTATATGACAGTACAAAATAATTGGTTAGATATGTAACTTTATTTTAGGTTCCTTTAATATATTAGCTTAACATAGAGTGATCTTTAATTTATTTTTTAATTAAATAAGTTTGGATATATAAACATTTATTTGAAATAAAGTTTCAGAGACGTGGTGGGGGATTATGTTAAGGAATCCCCACCTTGTATGAAGTATGTGGTTGGTTAATTATCGACAATTGCTACCATTTGTTTTCAATTTAACCATATATCATTAAATGCGATGATATGGATGTCATATGAGGATCATAGGGAAGCCCAACCATTTGAGTTTATTATTATGTTATTAAGGTATTTTAAATTGAGCTCTCTTTGCAATCTACATTTGTCAGAATGTGTCCTTCGACAATATGGATATATTCAAAAAATTTCACATCATCTATTTGTTCTATGTGATGTTCCACCTACAATAGAAGTGTTGAATAGTCGATGTTTGCATTTTGCTAATCAGTTAGTTGTTGATCTTATGGAAGCATCTCATCCATCAACATGTCTTAGTGGGTATATGAAGTGGTTTCATCATGTTTCTCATTCCTTAACAAATTTTTTCTTATGTGGAATTAACTATATGTCTTTCACATATTCAATCAACATAGGTCATGATGAACAAAAAACTTTAAAGGGTTATAACGCAATGTTGAAATCCATAATACTTCCCCTAGTATCTATTACTTGTTCTCACTCCTCTACTAAATGTACTAATATTTTGCATTTTTTACTATGTGAAAGCGACATAAAATATTGGTCATATGAGGAAACACAATTACAATTACATTCATTAATGTCATCCTTGTCACAAACCAATACCCAAGGGAGCAAATAAACTCTTAAAAACAATTCTCTATGTCTTTTAAAAGCCCTAACAAAAAAATTCACGTTTAACATCCAATAATACAAATGCAGTAAAGAACATCATTCATGTAGATGTTACACCAAAGTAAGGGCAACCTAGACCTTTTAGTTTTGTAAGTGTTATCCATCATCAATACTAAGTTACATACATTCAATAATTTGACAGAATCAAGATGTGTCTATAAAATATTTGTTTTGATATTTGTAGTCTCATTAAACAAAAATGAATATATTTGTTTTGCTTAAATAACTTTATTAGTTGTTGCATTTCAGTTCTATGATCCTTACACTACTACAATATATGTATATTGTATTATACACTTGTTTTATACTCGTAACATTATTTTCATTGTTCTTTTCAAGGTATGTAGCATATTTTTAGGTTTGACCAAACTTTTTGTCATATTATTTAGCACGAATTTTTCATTACTTGTTAATTTACCAGGATATGAATGACCTATCAATGTATCAGAAGTTGTGATTATGACTTTCACAAACTAATTTCAGGATTCATCATTTACCATTCTTTACAGGTTTTCCCCATAGTTTAAAGAGACATTTACGTTTTCAATTTCCTGTAAGAGTTGGTTGCAAATCTTTTCAATATCTTTTATATTTACCGCCTACCTAAAAATATATATATCTTCCTTTCTTGATGACCACTTGTTGTACCCAACCTAAGTATAACAACCACAAATTTAAACTTAAATATAATCTC